TAGGACACATCAATGAAGCAGGAGTCCATGGACAGCAACCAGTTTTCCAAGGGCATTTTGAAAAAGGAATAGAAAGGAGCAGAAAAAAAAAACAGGTTGCTTACCTGTAACTGATGATCTTCAAGTGGTCACCTGTGCATTCACACCTTTGGGATATAGTGTGCCTGTGCTGACCCCAATCGGTACTTCTAGAAAGTGAAAGGGATTTTCGCGCCCACTCCCCAGTCACATGCCAGGCTCCACTGCGCATGACCAGGGGAGGGGCATGACAATCCCGCCAGTTTCTTCTGACCGCTGCCATCAGTCTCAGAGCAAAGAACAAAAGGACCAAAAGCAGAGGGGAAGGAGGGCGGGTGGTGTGAATGCACAGATGACGACTCAGAGATCATCAGTAAGCAACCTCTTTATCTTCTTCGTGGTCTCTGTGAATCACACCTTTGGGAGATTAACAAACAACACAGGCCTACCTGGAGGAGGGAGCTGAAGGTCCTAGACATGCGCTGCCTGCAACACAGCTCATTCCACCGCAGAACGCTGATGAAGACACACATCCAGGGCAAAATGCTTCACGAACGTGTGAGGAGAAGCCCAGGTTGCTGCACGACAAATATCACTGAATGACGCACCTCCCAGGAAGGTGCTACTGCTCGGGTAGAATGTGCCCTGAGCAAACTCGGGAGCGGCCTTTTGGCCAAAAGGTAGCACAGCTTGATCGCCTCTATGATCCACCTGGATAGGTGCTGCAAAGACAGCTTCTTCCCCTGTACAGGTGTCACGGCTCAAGTGGGGTGTCACCTGACGCTGCCACCACTCTGGATTTAGGTTCCCTCGAGAAGGCCCAGAGCATCCTTCCAAGACCTTCAGACTTCCCTTTTGGCCGAGTAATAGGCGTGAGGACCAGGCAGAGTACAACAAGGAAAATAGTTTATTTTATAGGAGGTCAAACAAACAAGGTGCAGATTAATAACAGTAAGTAGGTGAATAGAAAAGAAATCAAATGCCCTAATGCGTCTAAATACATACTGTCCCTAGCTCACTATTCCAAGTGGCACTAGACTACTCACTCAGCCCTCAGGATGAGGGTCTCTCCCATGCAGCAGCCTTCCTTCTGGCTCTGCCTTCTTGGAAGAAAGAACAACTTTCACTCTTCCACCAGTCTTTTATTCCAAGCCCTCCTCTTTTCCTATTGGTCAATTTTGGCTCCAAAACCTCCCAGGGGCTTCTGGGAGTTGTAGGCCTAGCTTCCTCCCACTGCTACACAGGCTTCCTAGGCCTGCTAGGCCGCGCTTACACAGCCCAGATCATGATAGGAGCTGATCTCTGAAGTTGGCAAATCATTTGCAATCCCAGAAGATCTCCAGCCCCCAACAGGAGGATGGCAAACCTGACCTCCCGTGTCAGACCTGTTTGGGTTTTGTTTTCTTTGGGTCTGGATGCAGCAGCTCCCACTCACTCCGCTGGCACCTGCCCATAGAGGAATCTTGCCAATATAGGATACCTTCGGTATTAGGCTTGCCAAGTCCCCCCGGGGGGCGGGGAAACCCCTGCCCCAGAGGCCCGTTCCCCACTGCCGCTGGATTGGGCCCCGGTGGGAACCCCACCCCAACGTGCACATCACTCGGAAGTGATGTGACCAGCCGGGCACGCTGGGGGCGGAGCCACGGTCATCCAAGGAAAACTCTATGGTTTTCCCTCGGATGGTCGTGGCCCCGCCCCCAGCGTGCCCGGTGTGATCGCATCACTTCCGCACACTCCAGCCGCCAGCCGGGAGTCCCCCGCTGCGGTGAGAATCATACTTGGCAACCCTCTTCGGTATATCAAGCAGGGCACCAGGAACAGAAGCGATCCTTTAAGACAGAGGTGTCAAACTCATTTGTTATGAGAGCCAGATCTGACCTAAATGTCATTTTGTCGGGCCGGGCCCTGTGTACCGTGTAACACCAGGTACCGGAGATATAAACTTTATAAAGGACACAGGCGAACCGAGTTAACAATATTATTTTTTACTCAAAATACAAAACAAAAGCAATTGATTCCTAGCAGTGAAAGCAATTGGTTTGCTGGGGAACCCACAATACCCCAGTCATACACAGGACTAGGTTTTCCCCAAGGGGTACTATAAAAGGGGGAGTACCTTATATTTCCATCCATACCAGTTGCTTGTGGGCCAGGTAAGAACCCTGGATGGGCCGGTTCTGGCCCCCGGGCCTTAGATTTGACACCCCTGCTTTAAGACTTCAGTCCAGTATTGCCGAAGCATGGCCAGTGTTCTGTTTGAACCTTTCCGGCAGTGTACTGCTGCACAAATTATTTATTTATTTATTTATTTATTATTCACATTTATACCCCGCCCTCCCTATACGCTCAGGGCGGCTTACAGAGGCGAGGCAAAACCTCGCCATAATAAAAACATAATATACATAATAAATTTAAAAACATAGTACATCTTAAAGTCCTATACAAACAAAGTGCTCAGTGATGTCATAGTCCAAAGATGACGGGTTGTATGTCCGAGTTCCAAGTTGACGGCTTAGGGTTTCTTCCATGTTCGGATGTTTCCTAAGGGCTTCATCCAGCCCACCACGGTGGTAGTATAGGGCCCGGATCTCCCCTGGGATGACCTTGGGCAAGGCATATTCTGTCAGAGCTTGTCCTTGAAAGAGCAGTTTCTCTGTCAGAGCTCTCTCAGCCCCACTCCCTCAGGTAGGTTGGACCCTGGCCATGAGTAGGATTCCTCAAAAGCGAGTGAATATTCCACTTGAAGGGATTATTGTGTATGATTATGGATGCCACCTCCAGGCTGGGAAATTTCTGGAGATTTTGGTGGTGGAGGGCGGGGTTTGGGGAGGGGAGAGACCTCAGTGGGTATGTGATGCCACAGAGTCCGCCCTCCAAAGCGGCCATTCTCTCCAGGGGAACTGATCCCTGGCGCCTGGAAATCAATTATAATCCCAGGAGATCTCCAGAGTCCCATCCCGTCTGGAGGCTGGCAGTCATAGTCTGTGTGTGTGAGGGGGGGAGTGTAAGGATTCAAATCAGTGAACCTTGAACAGTGTCCATTCTGAAGATGTGTGCATGCACACGGACGCTCATACGCAGAATTAAACTTTGTTGGTCTCGTTTGGTGTAGTGGCTAGGAGCGCAGACTCAAATCTGGGAGAACCGGGTTTGATTCCCCACTCCTCCACATGCAGCTGCTGGTGCGACCTTGCATCAGTCACAGTTCTCTCAGAGCTGTTCTCTCAATAGCAGTTCTGGAAAGAGCTCTCTCAGCCCCACCTGCCTGACAGGGTGTCTGTTGTGGGGAGGAGAAGGGGAAGGAGATTGTAAGCCGCTCTGAGACTCCAAGTGAAGAGCGGGGTTATGGGGTATAAATCCAGTCTCCTCCTCCTCCTCCTCCTCTTCTTCTTCTTCTCCCCCCCCCCTTTCCCGGTCTCAAACTTTGTTCAGCTATGCAGGGAGCGCTTGACCTGGCTGGCCCAGGCTAGACCACTCTTGTCAAATCTTGGAAGTTCAGCAATGTCGGCCCTGGTCAGTATTTGGATGGGAGACCACCAAGGAGTACCAGGGTGTCAGCCTCTTGGGCAAAGTTACTCCCAACAACACTCTCCGGCAGTGATTTGTTTATTGAGAAACAAAGATGTTCCAAGCAGAGACTCTCGCTGAGTCAGGACTAATATTCTGGCACGAAACCCCAAAGATATTGACAGTTCGAACCAAAGCCAACACATTCATTCCCGCCTAGCCGTTCGTGCTCCCCCCAACCCCACCTGTCAATCACAGTTACATTATCTCTAAAGCGGAGCAAGCAGAGATGCAGACCAAGGTCATCCCAAAGGGAGGTTGTCTTAATCTGCATTTGTCTTTCCCACCGGTGTCCCAGCCTTTTGACTCCGTCTTGAAAAAAAGCTGTCTACATTTGGTGTCGTTTTCACACCTCAACAGTGCTAGCATACTTTGGCACTTCTGCATATGTTTATCGTCCTTTCGGGGGCGGCTCCACTGTCATTGCGCCTCCCCACTGCTTTAAAAGAATCTTCTCCAAACAACATTCAAACAAGCATAGAGAAAGACGGCGTCACAGCAGCACGAAACTGATTTAAAAATGCAAACGCAGATTCGACGTCCGTCTTCAAAAAAGCTGTCTACATTTGGTGTCGTTTTCACACCTCAACAGTGCTAGCATACTTTTGCACGTCTGTATATGTTTATCGTCCTTTTGGGGGCGGCTCCACTGTCATTGCGTCTCTGCACTGCTTTAAAAGAAACTTCTCCAAACAACGTTCAAACAAGCTTAGAGAAAGACGGTGTCGCAGCAGCACGAAACTGGATTAAAAATGCAAATGGAGATTCGACCTTATTAGCGGAATTACTTTCGCCACTCCGCAGAGCCATGCTCATACTCAAGCACACACACACACACCCCACAGGCATTCCCCCCCCCCCATTCTCCAGAATACATGGCAAACTGGAGGCCGAGTTTGACATTGGGCCGATATACAGAGGAAAGCAATGGCAGACCCACCTCTGAACGTCTCCTAACTTGAACACCCTACGCCTACGGGGTTCCTTCCCATATGTCGGCTGCCACTTGACAGGACCCTCGCACAGACAACACACACAGAAGCAGTGAGCACTGTACACTTTCTGCATTGCTAAACATCATGTTTCTTAAAGCATCAGGTTTCTTAAAGGTCAACCTTTCCATCTTCTGCGGCACGTTATGCATTAAAATTTGTTTTCTCTTTTTTAAAAATTCTGTAGTAGAGAAGAGCCAGAGTCCAGGAGCACCTCAAAGACTAACAAAATTCGTGGCAGGGGAGGGGCCCTCATGAGTCACGGCTCACTTCGTCAGACTCACGAAAGCTCATCGCCTGCCACAAACGTTGTTAGTCTTTGAGTGGCTCCTGGCCTCTGGCTCTTTTCTGCTGCTACAGACAGACTCACACGGCCACCCGTCTTATTTCTCATTTTGTGTTTCCATTCGACTCAACGTTCAGGTTGAAGTTGCCGTTTCTTTGGCGTGTATCGTCTTAAAGAACAGCCGCCTCCAGGTTGTGTTACAAGATCAGGAAGGTTTCTGTTATTCCGACGTCCTTCATCTTCTTTATTCAACAGACAAGGTACCAGGTTTACCGGAGTATGTTGTGGGACTCCTTGGCGCGTTTAAGATAATGTATGAGGCACTTGTCATACAACTTCTGTGGGTCTAAAACCTGAGTGCAAACTTTCACAGGAGATGGAAGTATGAGGTGCACAGAGAGCCCTTCTGTTTCCCTTACGTCCCCCATATTCTGTCCCCCATATGAGAGCCAGTTTGGTGTAATGGTTAAGAGCGCGGACTCTCATCTGGGAGAACTGGGTTTGATTCGCCACTCCACCACATGCAGCTATTGGGTGACCTTGGGTCACTTACAAGTTCTCTCAGAGCTGATCTCTCAAGGGCAGTTCCTGGGAGAGCCTTTCAGCCCCACCTACCTCACCGGGTGTCTGTTGTGGGGAGGGGAAGGGAAAGAAGATTGTAAGCCACTGAGACTCCTTCGGGTAGTGAAGGGCGGGGTATAAATCCAATCTCCTCCTCGTCGTCTTCTTCTTCTTCTTCCCATGTAAGACATACATGCTCTTTTGAACATGCAAATGGAGCTCCCTCCGTTAGAATCCAAGGGGCAACATACATATACGAGAGGGTCAACTATCAGCCCAAGCACATGTGTCAGACTACAGTTTGGTAACACAGTGCCAGAACAGTGTACAGAAGGGGTCTCCAACATGGCACCCGTGGGAACCACGGTGCCCACCGATAACTTTCCTGGCACCCACCAAGTGCTTTCAGAAAGAGGGCACAGCCGTCCGGGACTTTTACCCAGAAAGGCTTCTTCTTATTTCAGTGCAGATTTTTTAAAACATTGCTTCGGCGGGAGCTGCTACCACTGCACCAGGATCTTCAATCAGAGCCGGTTTGGTGTGGTGGTGCGGACTCTAATCTGGGAGAGCCGGGTTTGATTCCCCAATCCTCCACTTGCGCCTGGCTGGATGACCTTGGGCAAGCCATAGTTCTGATAAGAGCTGTCCTTGAAAAAGAGCTGTTTCTGTCAGAGCTCTCTCAGCCCCACCTGCCTCACAGGGTGTCTGTTGTGGGGAGGGGAAGGGAGAGGCGTTTGGGTAGTGAAGGGTGGGGTATAAATCCAATCTCTTCTTCATTTTGGTGAAGTGGTTAAAGTGCACGGACTCTAATCTGGGAGAACCAGGTTTGATTCCCCACTCCTCCACTCGCACCTGGCTGGATGACCTTGGGCAAGACGTAGTTCTGACAAGAGCTGTCCTTGAAAAAGAGCAGTTTCTGTCAGAGCTCTCTCAGCCCCACCTACCTCACAGGGTGACAGTTGTGGTGAGGGGAAGGGGAAGGAGTTTGTAAACCGCTCTGGGACTCCCTTGGGTAATGAAGGGCGGGGTATAAATCCAATCTCTTCTTCTCTTCATCTTCAATATGGGGCCGAAGGTAAGACAGGGCAGCCATTCTCTGGCTGTGCCCACCACTCTGTGTTAGAATTCCCAAGGTGCCTATCAGCTCAAACAGCTTGGGGACGCCTGGTGTACAGCGTTGGCCTGAACCCAGACATAGACCCCAGCATTGTAAATGAACTTGGAAGTGTCTCCAAGCTTGAAAGTCTTCTCTACCCTTTCCCTTCCCTCCCTTCGTGGCTCACAGCGGACCACAGTTTCCCATCACATCCGAGCCAACAAATTATTATTTGCACTTTTCCTGTAAGAGAGTAACATGCCCAGGGAAATGCTGATGGCCACTTTGGGGTCAGGAAACCATTTTTCTCCAGGCCAGTTTGGACAGGGATCCTGGAGGTTTTTTGTCATCTTCTGGGCATGGAACAAGGGTCACTGGGTGTGTGGAGGGGGCGGTAGTTGTGAATTTCCTGCATCGTGCAGGGGGTTGGACTAGATGACCCTGGAGACCGAGAAGCCCCGCGAGGAAAGGCTGAGGGACTTGGGAAGGTTCAGTCTGGAGAAGAGGAGGTTGCGGGGGGACAGGATGGCTCTCTTGAAGTATCTGAAGGGCTGTCCCTTCAAAAAGGATGTGAACAGAATGGAGTGGGTACACAGGAGAGCGATGAGGATGATCGGGGGCCTGGAGACCAAGCCCTGCGAGGAAAGGCTGAGGGACTTGGGAATGTTCAGTCTGGAGAAGAGGAGGAGGAGGGGGGAGGACAGGATGGCTCTCTTGAAGTCTTTGAAGGGCTGTCCCTTCAAAACAGATGTGGACAGAATGGAGCGGCTGCAGAGGAGAGCAACGAGGGTGATCGGGGGCCAGGAGACCAAGCCCCGTGAGGGAAGGCTGAGGGACTTGGGAAGGTTCAGTCTGGAGAAGAGGAGGTTGAGGGGGGGGGCATGATGGCTCTCTTTGAGTATTTGAAGGGCTCTCACTTAGAGGAGGGCAGGGAGCTGTTCCTGTGGGCAGCAGAGAAGAGGACTCCCAAGAATGGGCTTAAATTAAGGATGGGAGGGTTCTGGCTGCTGGATATTAGAAAAAACTTTTTGACAGTTGTGCATGAGTGGAATCAGCTGCCTAGGGAACTGGTGAGCTCCCTCTCACTGGCAGTCTTGAAGCAGGGGCTGAACAAACCCTTGGGAGTGGGAGGACCCACGTATGTAGAATTCCTGGGCTGTGCCTCCGAGTGGCATGCAAATAATACAGAAATTAATCCAATGCTGGGTTTCCCCCCATACGTTTTTAAAGGAATTTACTCTTGTGTGCTTTGTCCAAGAATATTTGTATGTTTCTCTGATTGCTTTCAGGATATCCGTTTACGGGCCGGCTACGCCATCACTCTTTTCGCTTATAATAACCCCGCCCAGCAGTTTTTGATCCTGGAAAGCGGTCCCATATCCATGTCAGTATTTGAACCTTTTCTGGAATCGGCAGTAGAGACAGAGAGGGCGATGGCTGCTTTTCAGGTACGCGGTCAAGAGGTGACGCGAGGGTGGCCCACCCTGGCTTGGGAGATTCCTGAAGGTTACGGGAGGCGGCCTGGGGAAGGCGGAGTTTGGGGAGGGAAGGAAGTTTCAGTGGAGATGTGATGTCACTCTAGGACTTGTTTCTCCTAGACTCTATGGCAGGGGCGTCGAACTCATGTGTTATGAGGGCCGGATCTGACATAAATGAGGCCTTGTTGGGCCAGGCCATGCGTGTCATAAAATGCAATGCCAGGTAGCGGAGATATAAACTTTATAAAGGACACCAATACAATTAAAGGGTTTTTTTTTACTTACTTTGTTGGTATTAAAGGTGCTTTGTATTTTCCCCGTGGGATCGAGGCAGCCACGTAAAGCAAACTCTCCCTCCCTCCCTTTCGGGAGGAGCCTCAGCCAGTGGAGGGGAAGAGAAGCTTGCCTATCTATCTCTCCTGAGCGATTGAGAGAGTCTGGCAAAGCAAGCTACGATGCAGCAGCAGAAGAACCGGAGAAAGAAGCAGGAGGCCTGATAGAAGCCCTCTGGGGGTAGGGTTGCCAAGTCCTACCTGTTGCTGCAGCGGGGGACTCCCGGCTCGCTCCTGGAGTGCGCGTGTGCGCTGCAACCACGTCACCCGGAAGTGACGCGACCACGCCGGGCACACTGGGGGTGGGGCCACGACCATCCGAGGGAAAACCATTAAACTGCTCAACAGCAGCTTGAGCCTTTTGCAGTTGATATTTAAGCCACTACAAGCCTGTATGGTATAGTGATTAGAGTTCTGAGCAGGGAACCTTGGTTCAAATGCCCGTTTCTCATGAAGGCCACTGGATGACCATAGGCCAGTCACACTGTCTTACTCTACATGGTTGCTGCTGTTGGGATGAAATGGAATCCTTCATTGTCTTTCATTTTGAGCTCCTTGGAAGAAGATGGGATATAAAAAGAAATAAAAAGACTCCTTAATTTTCTTTAGGGTGATATTTCATACATGAAAGATGAGTGTACATTTTCATATACTCATACTAATCTGGGGTTTTTTTATGTAGGCATTAAATCTTGACTATGCAGTGGAGTGCTGTAACAAGAAATATGAAAGCAATGGGATGCAGCTAAACTGTGCACTGTCCTATTAATCTTAATGGGAATGTTCTGTGGATTCTCTGAAATGCCTGTAGTGACAGAACTTCATGTTGATTTAGGATGACCTTATATTTGTGTTTGTTCTTATTAGGGGTAACAATTTTAGAAGACCAGGCTGCTCAACCAGTTTCATCTACCTCACCCTGTGTCAAAGCAGATATTCTCACTGCTTCTATGGCACTTATGTCAAGTTCTACTACATCAGCAGTAGTGGCAAAGCCAAATGCTGTGGAGACATTTATCAGTAGTACAACCAGCGAAAAAGAAGAGAAAGTGCAACCTCCTGGCCACAGCGGAGTGGACGATACTCCACTCGATAAAGGTGTGGTGAAAAAATTGCCAAGTCTTTCCTTGTCTCAGTATGACATTTTAAAAACCGGCCTTTCCTTTGAACCTTGGAACAGTGATAATTCAGTCATCATTTCAGAGCACTTAAGCAATCCAAAATGTTTCAAGAGAGAGAAAAATCTGGATGTGTCGGCCCAAGACAGTATGACAAGCAGTTGTCCACAGTGTAATATGGTGGCAGTCAAGAGAAGTGATGGACCCGTAGAAAGTCCTTATGCTGATGATATGAAGGTACACCTTGATGATTCAGACAGTGAGGTAGCTGTGGCCTTTGTTGACAATTCTCTTCCTGGAGATATGCTTCCACTCCATGAACCAATTAAAATCGTTATCACTATGAGTAGTACCCAAAATTCAACTAGTGATTTAGAAGGCTCACTCCATCTGAAGATGCTTGGTACTGAAAAGTCCAGTTCAAACCTTGACTCTGGCATTGCTGCAGTGGATCAACACAGCAGGCAAAACAATAATGAACAAGTGAGAATACCTGTGATTACTTTTGAACTATCTGATGATAATGGACTCCGTGCTTATCAAGAAGCAAGTGAAAGTTTAAGAACACCAGAGAATTTAAATGTAGATACATCATCCAACCAATGTTCTGGGTATGAATCTGGTGAACAAGACCATGCTGAAAAGGAACATAGTGATAAACCAGCCAGTAGTCATGTGGAAGTATGTACTTCTCCAGGAAATGTTTCTGAGGTTTTGGCGAACACAACTGTACTTTTGAAAGAAGGGCAACAAAACTTAGGCCTGCCCTCTTATAAAACAGCTCATGAAAAGAGACATGCTCGTGTGCTCAGTGTGGACAGTGGGACAGATGTCCTTTTGAGTAAGAATTCCATCGAGACAGACAGTGACAAAGAAAAACTTTTGCCAACCTCTAAATCTGATCTGGAAGCTAAAGAAGGACAGATACCAAATGAATCTAATTTCTTGGAATTTGTCTCGCTGCTGGAATCTATTAATACCTCAAAGGCGGCAGCATCTGATTGTAAAGTAGAAGCTGCAAAAGACAAGGGCCTGTCTGGAGGTATGCTGCATGCTTTCAGCATTGTTCATCAACATGTTCAGTTCTAGTCCCTTTACAGAAGTGCCCTCCTGAACATTTCTGTTTTGCCTATTCTGCAGAATTATAGAAGCGTGGGATCCTTCCTAATCACCTGAGGTAGGCTGTTCCATAAGTTAGGCTCCATAGCAGAGAATGCATGTGAACAGGCAGCCACTGATTTTACCCATTTGCAGGGTAGCACTTTCAGAAGGCTTTGCTCAGGTAAGTGAAACTGTTGTGGTGGGTCACAGCAAGATAGGGAGTCTTGCAGGTATGTGGGTCCAAGGCCATTAAGGACTATGCAGGTGATAACCAATACTTTGAACTCAATCCAGTGACTGATGGTGAACCAATAGAGTGACTGCAGAATGGGTGTGATTATGTATGTCCTCCAAGCTCTGGAAAGTAACTGAGCTCTAGTCACAATTTTCCAAAGGAAAATTTTGGAGTACCAAATGCTGTTGCATGTAATATTTAAAACTGAAAGGGTTACACAAAGAAGTGATCAGCTGATATCTGACTTACAGTGAAATGTTCTGCTCCTTTGTGCAGCTGCTGCAACAGCATCATCTTAGCTTAGCTCCCAGTGACAGGATATCTACTTCCTCTGGTACTGTGAGATATAGTTCCACTGCTTGCTCTGGGCCAGTAGCAGCTCTCAGTATTTTTTCTTAGTGCAATAAGGATGTTCATCCACAGCATACTACTTTATGAGCCTTCAAAGTACCACATACACATATATCCATCATAGTGATCTTAGGAACAATATAAGAAAAGCCCTGCTGGATCAGACCAGTGGTCCATCTAGTCCAGCATCCTGTTTCCTACAGTGGCCAAAGAAATACATAAATATTTCTGAATTTGCCATTAAATGTAAAGATGACTGGATGAAGTACTTCCTTAAGTTGCACATGGTTGATTTAGAACTTACTGCAAGCCTCAGCATCTGGAAACTTACCAAAAATATGCTTTGCAGTAAAAGTATTCTTTCAAAGAACCCCCTCTTACCACTTGGACTTGTTACCACTATGACAGAGCATCTGGCTTTCCAGACATCATTGAGCCTGCACAGGACAGGAGCACAGGCATCCAGCTGGGAGCAGACTGAGAATCAGCTTCTATTCCTAAATGAGTCCTCTATATAGGACTGCTCTTGGAAAGTTCCATTGGTACAAAATGTAGATGATCATTTAATATCTGGAATTAGGTGTGATGGGGAAATTTTTCAAGGGTCCCAGAATGAGGGGTTCAAATGGAGACAATGGACCTCAGCAGAAAATAATTTATTTTAAGTATTTCGAACTACAGAGGGATCCTTATCCAAGGCACTGAAAGTAAGTGCTCCAAAATTCTAATAGACACACCATGCATTATATAGTATCACCTTGCGTCTCCAGTTACCCTGTGACCTGTTCACTTCGTATTTACTGTGTTTTCATTCACATTTACTACGTTTACCAATTACATTTCTTTAATGCACATTCTGTTACTTGTTTACTAAGGCACCCTTAGCTTTACAGATAACAGGCATTTACTCATGACAGGCAACTGTTTGTGGTTTTTGTCTTCACCTTCTTACTTCCACATCTAATCTCTGAGGCTAGGCTCAGAACAGACATCACCAAGCAATTGTTTATCTTATTGAGTAAAGCACTAGATCTCCTTGAAACAGGCATATACATTTGTAACACAACATCTTTTTTATTTTTTTATTTTTAAATGATCTTTTTATTGGGTTTTCAATATGCCACATATACATCACATACACTCTAATTAACATTTATGAATACAAATAAATCAATATACCATCATTTTCACTAACCTCTTAGTGATAAAAGCTAAAGACACAGATTTAACATTTTAGGTACGCCTTTCTAACTTTACTAATATCTATTAACTTGCTTCTTGTACTCTTTAGTTCCTCCTTTCTCTATAGACTTTAGACTCTCCATTTGAAATCCTTACAATATCTACTTGATCATTACCTTCTTTCAAGTTTTAAGCTATTAGGCATTCATAACTAACATTAACTATAGGTTTTATTCCCTATTCACCCAAAAAACCTTAACACACATAGTTAACCTACTAACTAGTTTCAAAGTTTTGATGCCACCACCAAGGAGGCCCTCTCCAGGGTTTGCCACCCACCTCATTTCTAGGGTTGTCAAGATGAGCCCTCCTGGAGAAAATGGCTGCTTTGGAGGGTGGATTCCGTGTCATTGTCCTTGCTGAGGTCCCTCCCCTACTCAAAACCCACCTTCCCTAGGCTCCACCTCCAAAATCTCCAGGTATTTCCCAACCCAGAGCTGGTGACCCCACTAACCTCAGAAGGCAGGGGCACCCGAAGTAGGGCCTTTGGAGATGACCATGGTGGTTCGGTGGGTTCATAAGTGAGCCAGTGCTCCTCCAGGTACATTGGTCCCAGGCCGTACAGGACTGTTTAAAAAAGATTGTTCTTTCTTCAAGTTGAAATGCCTCTGAAACCAGAAGTGATACTAGTAGAACATTGGGCAGCTTTACATAGTCACAATCCATGCTCCCTCTAAGCCAGTGATGGCGAACCTTTTAGAGACCGAGTGCCCAAACTGCGACCCAAAACCCACTTATTTATCGCAAAGTGCCAACACGGCAATTTAACCTGAATACTGAGGTTGTACTTTAGAAAAAACAACTCATACATTAACTTACGATGATACAAACAAAGTAAGGAAAGCAATCCCAAATGCTTTCATTTACTTAAAATTATTTGGCAGAGAATTCGACACTTTAATGATGGTCTGGGCCTGGCTGGGGCGATGGCATGCGTGCCCACAGAGAGAGCTCTGAGTGCCACCTCTGGCACCCGTGCCATAGGTTCGCCACCACTGCTCTAAGCTGTGGAGTCTTGTGAGCCAAAATTCTGCTTTGTGAGCCACTGGCATTAAAGTTGTCAGCGAGAGATTTGGGTGCTGCATAGATTAGTCTGCTCTGGAGCCATCCTTCCCGAGCCAAGACAGAAAGGTGTGAGCCGAAGGCTAAAAAACTGTGAGCTAGCTCACACTAACTCAGCTTAGAGGCAACACTGGTCACAATAAAACAAAGGGAACAACCCTATCTTATTGACAATAGCTAAAATTTTGCTATAAGATGAATAGACCAACAAGTTCCCTCTGTTCAACAATGGCTAAATAAAATTTTGGATTATTTTATTTTAAGTAAACTTTTAATTTAATCAATAACTCAATAGCTTGTTAATCAAAATAAGGCGGTAAAAACTTGGTATCCAATTGTAAACTATTTAGTGGGGAAAGACCCTCCTTCCTCAAGATCCTCTGTATCAAGATATGATTTACTTTGGATTGTTAAAAGTATTCAAGTTTAAAGTGTTCTGCATTTTATGTTTATTGTCAAAGGTTAAAAATGTTAATAAAAAAAAAGATTGTTCTTTTTTTATCTTTCCATAGTGGGAGAAAGGACTTGAGACTCAACCTGAGACCTGGTCCTGATTCAGTAGAAATTACTTCTGGCTAATAAATCTGACTGATAGCAGTGTAACGGTTCCACTGGGATTTAGGCTTAATTCTGGGATGATAAACCCCATGTTTCTGGAGTGTATCACACATAGGGTTGCCAAGTCAATATTTCTTACCGGCGGGGGAGCCTCACCGGGCTCCGGGAGCCGTCCATCAATAAGCGCACGCGCCGCCAGCACATCACCAGAAGTGACGCGCGACGTCGATCACGTTGAAGGTGTGGCCCCGATCGTCGGAGGAAAAACCATAGAGTTTTCCCTCCAACGATCGGGGCCACGCCCCAATGTGATTGACATGGTTGCATCACCTCCAGTGACGCAGCCACGCTGCGTTTCGGGGAGCAGAGTTCCCCCCAGGGCCCGATTCCGCGGCAGCGGGAATCGGGCCTCTGAAGCAGGGGTTTACCCGCCACCCGCCCCCACTTGGCAGCCCTAATCACACGTGACAGTGTTCTTCCACTTAAAATCATACCATCCGCATAGACGACTAAGATGTTCAGGAGAAGGGAATGCTCGAGCCATTCACCCTGACACATGTATTTATTTATTTACTTCATTTACACCCTGCATTTCTTCCCAATGGGGACCAAAAGTGGCTCACGGTTCTCCTCTCCCCATTTTCTCTTCACAACAACCCAGTGAGGTAGATCAGCCAGGTGTGTGTGACTGGCCCAAGGTCACCCAGCATGATTCTGTGGTAGAGTGGGGATCCAGACCTGGGTCTCCCAAATCGTAGTCTGAAACTTTTAACTACTATACCACAGTGACAAGTTGTTTTCTATTTGAAGAGAGTTATTTTTCCCCCATGAAGGAACATCCAATCATATTATAGGGTCGCCAGCCCTCGCATTATGGTGGGAGACCTTCCGCTAGTGACCCTTCTTGCCCGCCACCACTCTGAGAGGGGGAAAAAAGTCAGCATTGGATCTCCTTCCCTCTAGCTCCTGTTTCCAAATGAAATCAAATAATGGCTGCCAAGCCCACGATGTGACAGGACTTACAGGGAAAACCTGAAAGTCAAGTTATGCCTTTCTAGGAATCACTGGAAACTCTTTGGTAGAACCATGGCATTTCTGGCATTTCCTAGAGAGGCATGATGTCTCTTCTGGGGTTTCCCTGGAAGTGACGTCACTCTGTCACTGACAGCAAGCCCCGCCATGGGCCCTCCTTCCAATATCCCACTAGGGATTCCAGGTCCTACCTTTCTGCTAGTGGGGGGATCGATGGTCCTTTCCTGGAGCTTCTGCCATGTGCACAAGTGCCCTGAAACATGGCGCGATGATGTCACCCGGAGGTAACATCACCACGCCACCATCTAGTTTTTGGGTAAAACTCTATGGTTTGAGCCCGATTTCACCATAGAGTTTTGCTCCCAAACTAGAATGTCACTGTGTGACGTTGGCAGCATGACGACATTACTTCAAGGTGATGCCATTGCGCTGTGTTTCGGGGCATTTGCAGGCAGGTTTCCCACTGCTGGCCCACAAAAGCAGGGGAAACCCCACCTGGAAACAACAACCTAGTGTATTCAACACTTGGAGGGGATAGTTTTTGAACACCATCCATCTAGTCCAGCATCCTGTCTCACACAGTGGCCAGCCGTTTATGCTAAAGGGTTAACAACAAAGCAGACGGCCTGAGGCCTTCCCCTGATGTTGCGTCCTAGTACTGTATTAAAAAGTTTACTGCCTCTGAATGTGGAGGCTCCCTTTAGTCACCATGACTTAGTGGCCACTGATAGACTTCATGAATCTGTCTAGTCTCCTTTTGAAACTTATAGCCATCTCTACATCCTCTGGCACCGAATTCCACCTTTTAATCACTCCTTGAGTAAAGAAGTATTTCCTTTTGTTCATCCTGAATCTACTGCCCATTAACATCCTATAGTGTCTGCCCTTATACCATTTCCGCAGTAGTGAAATTCCCCTCATCGATGTTCTAAAAACTGCGCGTTATGTGAAATTTTCCGCAGTAGATTTTTCCTCACCAGGCGCAAAACCTGAAATTTTCTCCTTCTCACCCTGTGTTTTCGGAACTCGCTAAAACTGGGAGTTCCAAAAACGTGGAGTAAGAAGGAAAAAACTTCAGGTTCTTTGTGCTTGAGGGGCAACAGTGGGAGGGTTTCTGGACTTCTGGCCTGCTGGTGGACCTCTTGATAGCACCTGGGTTTTGGCCACTGTGTGACACAGAATGTTGGACTGGATGGGCCATTGATCTGTTCCAACGTGGCTTCTCTTAGGTTCTTATGTCTGGGGCAGTGATGCTCTGTATTCTTGGTGTTTGGGGGGCAACAGTGGAAGGGCTTCTGGAGTTCTGGCCCCACTGGTGGATCTCCTGATGGCACCTGGGTTTGGGCCACTGTTTGATGCAGAGTGTTGGACTGGATGGGCCATTGGCCCGATCCAACATGGCTTTTCTTATGTTCTGTCCCAGTAAAAATCTTTTGTATAGTATGGGAACAAAAAGCTGGTTAGATTTATTTATATTGGAAAGTAGGAAACACAAGAAGTCCAATAATGTAAGACAACTAATTCATGTGTTGTGTTAAATGCCTGTTTGATTTCAGATTGTTGTACTGGCTAGAATTATTGTTGATAAGGACCCGGTGAGTTTGTCTGCACGGGGAGTTTCGATTCTGGTGGACCTACTATGTTCAGAAGAGGCCAGTACTCTGGTGTTAACAGGTAAGAAATACGAAGGAGCAGATGTCTTCATTCAGCATGGAATAGTGTGTAACGAACACTCTTAATACAACAAAGTGTAACGGGGGCCTGCAATTGTTCTGTTTATTTATTTACAAAATGTATGCCTTGCCTTTCTGCCCTCGGAGCTGCGGTGGCTACTAGCTTAAGACGCTGAACTGCAGGCTGTGGAAGGTCAATAGTTCAGCAGTTTGAGACCCGGGTGCCGCAAATGAAATCAAATAATGGCTGCCACGCCCACGATGTGTCAGGACTTACAGGGAAAACCTGAAAGTCAAGTTATGCCTTTCTAGGAATCACTGGAAACTCTTTGGTAGAACCATGGCATTTCTGGCATTTCCTAGAGAGGCATGATGTCTCTTCTGGGCTTTCCCTGGAAGTGACGTCACTCTGTCACTGACAGCAAGCCCCGCCATGGGCCCTCCTTATCCCACTAGGGGTTCCAGGTCCTACCTTTCTGCTAGTGGGGGGAACGATGGTCCTTTCCTGGAGCTTCTGCCAAGTGCACAAGTGCCCTGAAAGACGGCGCGATGATGTCACCCGGAGGTAACATCACCACGCCACCATCTAGTTTTGGGGTAAAACTCTATGGTTTGAGCCCGATTTCACCATAGAGTTTTGCCCCCAAACTAGAATGTCACTGTGTGACGTTGGCAGCGTGACGGCATTACTTCTGGGTGATGTCATTGCGCCATGTTTCGGGGCATTTGCAGGCAGGTTTTCCCCAGCTGGCCAGCAGTGGGGAAGAGCCCACAAAAGTAGGGGAAACCCTGCCTGGATTGGGGGGCTGGCAACTCCATAACCTACTGTGCCTGGCAACTCTATGGTAACACCCCATTCGCATACACCCCTGCATACTAATATGGTAAAATCCTATTCTAAGTTTCCCATCTCAGTGAGAACTTGTGATGGATTGGGTCCCTGGTCAGTGCCACCCTTTCAAAATACACTTCTCAGCACAACAGGGAAAGTATTCTGTGCCAGATTGATTCCTTAAAGGCATATTTTCCTTCTTAGAATGGAAGAAACTAAAGTCCAGGCTGTAGCAAAAAGGTGCTACTGAATTTCGCCTGTGTCGTATCAGAACACTTGCTTCATGCCATTGTACTAGTCACAATTACAGCAGTCACTGACCATTTCGTACACAATTCTTTTACATTTTCCCAGAAGTCAGTACAAAAACTGATTTATTAGCACAACGTGCGACTTCTACAAGGTATTATGAAACGTTTCAGTTTTCACAAAGATTAGAAAGGTAGTTTTCTCTTGTGAAAGAGAATTGCCTGGTGGCAAAGATCCAGGCTAATTGTCCTCTTGAAACAATGGGTGTCGGGACTTTCGTGTTGCCCTTCTCACACAGAATCCCCAGTTAGTTTCTGCAGAGGAGACAGGTCTCCCCTATAGAGAAACTAGCGTCCAACTTCCATGGGCACCATGACACCCACTCGTACATCCCTTGGCACCCACCGAACTTTTCAGAAAGTGTGTGAGGCCATTGTACGGGAGGGCTTGTTGTGTTCTTCCCTCATTCACATGAAACAGTTTTCTATTGGAGGATGAGGAGGACTGGTGGTAAGCAACCAGGCTTTCCTTAGTCAGAATGTGGTTCCTTTCCCCATCAGGTTTTCCTTTTTCTCAGGGGGTGTGAGGAGGGCGATATTCTGTTTGACTCTGCCTCCTGAGGCAGCCATTTTGGTCCTGGCTCCATTTCCTGTGGAAGCCGTTTTAGGGTGGCGCTCCACCACCCCCTCTCGAAATTCCAAAGGTGTCTACAACCTCAAAAAGGTTGGAGACGCCCGCTTCAAGTTAACATAAGAACATAAGGAGAGCCCTCCTGGATCAGAGCAGTGGTCCGTCTAGTCCAGCCTCCTGCCTCACACAGTGACCCGCAAAAAGAAGAAAGAAACTGTGAGGTAACTGCGCTAGATAATATTTCAATAATAATCACAAAATTGTACAAAAATGTGTGCAGAAAATTATATAAATATACAAGACAACAAATGATGTGTTGACGATGGTCTCTGGAATGCTCTATTGTTTTGATTTTTGTGGATTTGTGGATTCATTCATTCTCGGAAGAAGAACAGTATCGAAACGATAGAGCATTCCAGAGACCATCGTCAACACATCATTTGTTGTCTTGTATATTTATATAATTTTCTGCACACATTTTTGTACAATTTTGTGATTATTATTGAAATATTATCTAGCGCAGTTACCTCACAGTTTCTTTCTTCTTTTTGCGGTCTGTTCTGTGACTGTGACCACCATTTTTTGAGTCACACAGTGACCCACCAGTTCCTCTGGAGGGCCAGCAACAGGGCAGAGAGGCAGAGGCCTTCCCCTAATAAGAACATGAGCCCTGCTGGATCAGACCAGAGGTCCATCTTGTCCAGCATCCTGTCTCACACAGTGGCCAACCAGTTCCTCCAGACAGCCAACAACAGTGCATAGAGGTACCCTGACCTGGATAGCCCAGGCAAGCCCAATCTCATCAGGTTTTGGAAGCTAAGCAAGGCCAAGCCTGGCAAGTACTTGGATGGGAGACCTCCAAGGGATACCAGGGCCGGGATTCAGAGGCAGGCAATAGCAAGCACCTCTCTGAAAACACCCAAGCCATGACTTCCAGGCACACACACACAAACTACAAAAACAGGACATAGAGGCCGAGGCCTTCCCCAATGTTGCCTTCTGGCTCTGGGATTCAGAGGCTTAGTGCCTCTGAATGTGGAGGTTCCCCTCAGCCACCATGGCTAGTAGGCATTGATAGACTTCTCCTCCATGAATCTTGTCTCATCCCCTTTTAAAGCTGTGACCATCAATACATTCTCTGGCAGCGAATTCCACATTTTGATCACTTGCTGTGTAAAGCAGCATTTCCTTTTGTCCGCCCTGAACCTACTGCCCATCAGTTTCATTGGATGCCCTCAAGTTCTAGTATTTTGGGAGAGGGAGAAAAAGTTCTCTTTGAGAGCTCTCCCCACCCCAGGCATAATTTTATATGCTGATTTCACAGGAGCTCCACGTTCACCCTGGAGCACACCGTGGGCCTTGGTCGACGCTACTTGTACCAAGGGTAACAAAAACAGGTAGAAATACTGATAAATATTGTGACCATGGCTTTTTTTGTAGAAAAAGCCCAGCAGGAACTCATTAGCATAATAAGGCATACCCAACAGCAAAAACTCATTAGCATATTAGGCCACACCCCTGATACTATGGGTTATTAGCCTATTAGGCCGCATCCCCCATGTTACCAGAAGTGTGGTCATCCAGCCACACCCACCTTTTGCTTCTTATTCTGTTTACCTTGTTTGTTGTCAAAACCCAGGGGTTTTTTTGTAGCAGGAACTCCTTTGCATGTTAGGCCACACACCCCTGATATAGCCAATTCCAATGAGTTTCTGCTGTTGGGCGTGGCCTGTTATGCTAATGAGTTCCTGCTGGGCGTGGCCAACTTGGGAGCCAGCTGGAACTCCGTTCCTGTGCGTTCCTGCCCCAAAATAGCCCTGATTGTGACTATGGAAACCTTACTAGCAATGCTCCCTTTAAGCTGTGGAGTCTTGTGAGCCAAAATTCTATTCTGTGAGTTGCTGGCCTTAAAGCTGTTAGCGAGCGATTTGGCTGCTGCATACATTAGTTTGCTCTGGAGCCCATCCCTTCCTGAGCTGAGACAAAAATGTGTGAGCCGGATGCTAAAAAACTATGAGCTAGCTCATGCTAACTCACCTTAGAGGGAACACTGCTTACTAGTACTACAACACTTAATCGTTGGATACACTGGGAATCGTAAGCCATACTTAAAAACGAAACCCTTCCTAATATCATAAGAACATAAGAGATGCCAATGTTGGATCAGGCCAAAGGCCCATCCAGTCCAACACTCTGTGTCACACTGTGGCCAGAAATACCAGGTGCCACCAGGAGGTCCACCAGTGGGGCCAGGACATTAGAAGCCCTCCCACTGTTGACCCGCCCAAGCACCAAGAAGACAGAGCATCACTTGCCCCAGAGCCCTGTCCATACTTTGTGGCTAATAGCCACTGATGGGCCTCTGCTCCATATGCTTATCTAATTCCCTTTTGAAGCCGTCCATGCTTCTAGCACGATTTATGTGTATAATGTTCGTATCTATTTCTCTCTAGGAAAGTTGTTGGCTAGTCTAGCGCACACGAGAGCAGGTATTCCTGAAGCCATCACAAGCCTGGGGACCATTCAACGTCTTTGTTATCATTTGTATGCCAAAGAAGAAGAGGTGAGCTTTTTTGGTGGTGGGGGGGGGCTTTGATACTGTAGTTCGTTTTCCTTTCAGTCATGAAATTTAATTTTCTTAGTCAAGTAACCAGTAAGAATTTATGGATGCATTTGCACTTAGCACATAAAATAGAGTTAAAGTTAAAAACAACAGCAACACGGGGGGGGGGGGGGGAAAACCCAACACCCAAAAAATAATAATGCTGAATTCGATTTTAGTGCAGAATTGCTTAGAGGAACATGGATTAAAAGGAGAGTGTGGAAAGGGCCATTGTTCTCTTTCTTTCTTGACTACTGGAAACCACCATTTTAATTATCTAGACCGGATGAGGCCCCTGGAGGGCTTCTATCAGGCCCACAGTGGAACTGGCTGTCTTCTGCTTCTTCTTCCAGTTCTGCTGCTGCTGCGTCATCATCAGGGGTCATTTCGTAGAAAAAGAGCTAGGGGAACTCATTAGCATAACTCATTAGCATATGCCACACCCCCTGACATCAGGGGCCCGGCGGTGGACCTGCAAGGCCAGCGGGAGTGTGAGGAAGCCCCGCCAAGGCCCTCCCTGGCCCCAGGCAGGCAGGGGTGGGGAGAGGCAGGGAGGAAGCAACTTCCCCTCCCTCTTCTCCTGCCTCCTCCTGGCTGAATGAGGGCTGGAAGCGAGGCGGGCGGAAGCAGGGGGCGGGGCTTCATCATGTGCCCCGCCCCCCTGCACCTCACCCGGGGGAACTGTGTTCCCCCGCGTTCCCCCCCGAAATGACCTCATGATAGGTTCACAGCTTACAGATACACTCCTGAACAGCACACTCAAGACTGCAACAGCAGAGACATTTTGATGCAATAATTCAGAGCCAAGGGGTGTCAGTTATCAGACACTGTTAAATAAGCAAAATATTGCAAGAGTGCTGATGTTTTAAGCACGTTTTCATTTTAAGTTAAAAAAACCCCACCCTTTGTGTTTGTGTCCTTTATAAAGTTTATATCTCCGCTACCTGGCACTACATTTTATGACACGCATGGCCCGGCCCAACAAGGTCTCATTTCTGTCAGATCCGGCCCTCGTAACCAATGAGTTCGACACACCCCTGA